TGATGTCTATTCAGTAGGAGTGGCCTGCATGCCCCACCACCGGCAGGAACTATGATTTACACACATAGGTGAGAGCTGTAGGGAGTCCGGCCCTTATCTGGAATGCTGAGAGACTTGTATTGGGGGAGGTGCCGCTCTTGATGGCTATTCAGTAGGAGTGGCCATGGCAGTTCCTTCCTGCTTTCAGATAAGGCCTCAGCCTCACACACAGCCCTCTGCTCTCCAGTATCCATCAATGATGGCAGTGACATTATTGAACGGTCCCTTCCCTAAGTGAAAAGAACTGAGATCCATCAGCTCCGCCATTAGATACGAATGCTCGGGCCGGAGTCCTTCTTTCGGATCATTTCGGAAAGCCGGATATCAATTTTGCACAGCACATGAAATAGGAAAAAGCTTAGCTAGCAAGGACGCATCTCGGCCGCATCACACTCGTGGCCGGGGAGGAGGCGGGAACATTTTATGTCTGCCATTTAAGATCACGTCTATTGTCATTTTTTTGGTATCTGCTTTTAATAAACTGCACTCTTACTATAATTAACGCTGGAATTTTTATTTGTTACAAAGTTAATGAAGCAACAATGACGGAAAAAGGTCTTCTAGACCAGCGGCCGCCAACCCTTCGGACCTCATGGACCACTAAATTCATCATTTTAAATCCCACGGACCACTAATATGAATTCTTAATAAATATATTCTCATATCTGTGTGTGTGTGTTTGCGTGTACTGTATATATATACACAAACACGCACACATATATATATACACACACACACACACACACATATATACACACACACACACATATATACACACACACACATATATATATACACACACATGTGAGTAAACAAAAAATATGAGAATATATCTATATACAGTATATATACACATACATACATAGGTGTGGGTGTGCCTGCAGGAGTGGCAGTGCTGGTGGAGGGAGGGAGCGGTGCCGCACGCCCCGGCCCACTAATAATATTAAATGGTTCCCCCCCCTATAGAATCTGCCACTGGCCCTGACCGTGCCGCCCGGGGCACATGCCCCCCCCCCCCTAGCTTCAGCACTGGACCCCAACCACCCCCGTGCCTCCCCTTCCCCCACACTGAGCCACTATTACCTGGTTTCTCCCCACTTTTTCTATGTCACGCAGCCTGCTCAGTCAGGGAACTGACCAGATGCCCCGCCCCCTGCAGAGCCCGCGCTGTACTGAGAGCCGCGCACTCCTTGTGACAGCCGCTGCTCGAGTCAGTGAGAGGCCGCCCCGGAGCCTCCGTGCCGCTTCAAGGACGGCCCAGCCTGCACGGCATCAGAGCGGCCCGGAGGGCAATTGCGGACCACTAAAATTTTCTCGCAGACCATTGGTTGGCAACCGCTGCTCTAGCACCCAAGGCAAAAAGGCCAAATTGGGATCCCCGTGCGGTGGGGGAGATTTTGGAAGACACAAGCACGGGGAAAAGTGATTTGGAGACCTTGGGGCAAATGAAAAAAGTAGCCCCACCGCAAAGGTCAGGTGCTTGCTCTGTCTAGGGGACTCAAAGCAGATTTACTTACATGATCCCGCCTACCACGGCAGTCAGCGCTCACCTCTGTCCCACTCCGCTCCGGCTATGGAATGTCCCTTGGAGTCCTCACGTCAAATGCAGGTCAGTGATGACGTCAGCAGTCCTTAGACCGCCGTAGCCCAGGGGAGAGGGGGCTGCAGCAACTGGTCTGGGAGCCCGGGATCAGGTAAGAAAATCTGCCCCTTAGACCAAAACAAGCTCTTAACCCCTTCATGACTGAGCTTGTTTTTGGTTTCTGTTCGTAAATGACTGACACACTTTTGACATTTTTGCTGTGTGATTCTTCCACGTCAGTACTATACTTTCTTACAAAGTGCACCCACACATATTATATATTGTTTTTTAGAGGACAGATAGGGCTACATATTTATATCACATATGTGTGTCTAACGCCTCACTTAGGACAAATACAAATTAAAAAAAGAGAAAAAAACGTTAAAAAAAACTTTTTTTCCCAGTTTTGATTTGTAGTATTTTTTTTTAAAAAAACCAGCACAGCTAAAAAAAAAATGCAATACATTCATTCATTTATTTCTCCCTTATTTTTAATTTATTTACACTTTTCACTTTTTTTATACTGACAAATTCTATTTATTTAATTATATCAGGCAGTAATTGGGAATTAATCTCACTGTTACTGCTTGATAAATTAATACATTTTTTTTATTATCAGGCTGCTTCAAACTTCAGAACAGCCGATAATAAGTTAGTGACACTGATCCTGCAGCAGTTCAGGATTCAGCTGTCAGTGAATGTTTCAGAAAACTTAAACATTCTACTTTCAAGAATAGATACATTATGTGTCTAATACAAAACATTTTGTATCTATTCTTGAAAGTCAAAAGATAAAAAAAAAAAAAGCCAGTATAGCTTGAGAGAGATATCTCTCGATCTATACGATCTATACGAGCTGTCAGAATGCCAGGCACCCGATCTTCAGGTATCGGGTGTCTGAAAAAGGTTAACCCTTTCATTAATGGATGCCTCTAAACTGAGGCATCCATTAATGAATGATTCTCAGCGGTTACCAGCCTTCTAGTGCAGCAAATAACTCGTCACGTACAGTGTACGTGACGAGTCATTTGGTCCCTTTGTGGCTGGACGTACAGTGTACGTCTCCCGTCACGAAGGGGTTAAAGAGAACTATGTGGTCAGTGTTTTTCCCCATAGTTCTCCTCAGGGTCACGGGAGGACATATACTAGCGTCCTCCCGTCACCCAAAGCTCAGTATATAGAGAGCTACAGCTCGCGGTATACTGAGACGCCGCAGCCGGGACGGATCCCGACATTACTGTCTGGATCCACCCAGCTGCGTGACTGACAGCTGGCTCTGCCTATCTAGAGGCAGAGCCAGCTGTACCCGCCCCCTCCGCCAGTCAGCGCTGGAGGATCGGAGCGGGGAGGAATCCCTTCAGGGAGCCGTGAGTGACAGCTCTCTGCAGTGACAGGATCGAGAGGTGAGTGAACGCCGGTATTTGTTCGCTCACTTCCCGATCTACTGAGCCGGCCTGTGACAGTCTCATTGTCACAGGTCGGCTCGAACTATGAGGAGGAGTGATTTTTCACTCACCTCATAGTTCTCCTTTAACCCTTTCAGTGCATGGGGTATCCCCACAGCAAGGGTAAGTGTTTTTATTTGTCTGGAGTTCTTCTTTAAAGACTGTAAATGTCCTTTATGGGGGAATCAACATCCTTAGAGAGGTCTGTGGGACGGAGGTGGGGCTAATCCTCCATCCACAGAAATCAATCCTAACCTACTTTACGTGGCAGGAAGTGATGTCACCTCTTCCCAGGAGATAAAAAAAAAAGCATAATGGAGGAAGTGTAGAGTTCTCTAACTTCCTGTCCCACAAATAATCACCCACGCCTTAGGATTTCCTCCCCTTCCCTCAGTCGTCTGCCTTGTGCTCGTACACCGCTTGCTATAAACACTTACGAAAGGCAAACAGGCTGCTCACTTTGCAAAGAATACCCAATCGCGTGCCAGGAAAATAAAGAAACCAGTATCTTCGCTTGCACATGATTGGACGATGGAAGTCAGCTGACCTACACCTCACTTACCAAGCTAAGGGGGGGAAACATCCCTTGCAAAGTGAACAGCCCATTTGCCTTCAGTAAATCAACCCCTTGGGGTCAAATAGCAGGCGGCGGCCTGCCACACAGAATGCAGCATCCCTGCCGTGTCCTCAGGTCAACTACACTGGGCGTTCCATGCTCGTGAAGAAACTGACATGGCTGCAGGGACCCGGAGAAACCGCCATAGGCCGGGTAATGGTCATTTTTGTGGCCGATGACATCATCAGTCCAAGTTTAGGTGGCCGGAAGAAATGTGTTGCAGCACTTCCTGCTTGTAAACACAGGGCGGGCTTGAGAACTATTATTATTCGTATTATTATATACACTGAGTGGCCGGATTATTATATACACTGAGTGGCCGGATTATTATATACACCGAGTGGCCGGATTATTATATACACCGAGTGGCCGGATTATTATGACCACCTGACGTTTGTAGGCACATTAGCTATAATTTGGCGCTGAAGTTGCTAGAGGGCCAGACCATTATAAATAGGGAAGCGGGTTGGTTACCACGACAGTAGAAGTGATTGGGAAGATACGGGGAAACAACGCGATGTAACAGCCTTGGAACGCGGGATGATTGTTGGCGCTCGGAGCCATGGAGCGAGTATCAGCAAAACAGCAGAATTCGTTACATGTTCAGGAGCGGCTCATTGTTAAAGTGTTTAAAGACCGGACTGTCAGCCGAAAATCTGGGTCTGAGCGTGCGAATTGTGGCCGTCAGCGACTAGCCAATGTTAGGGCAGAACGGGGGAGGGGCAAGACTGGTACAAGACAACAGAAGGACAACAGCGCCGTGTCAGATTCCTCGCATCACCTTTCATCATCTCGTGGAGTCACCAGGCGGCCCAAGTACTGATGGGGGGTCATAATAATCTGCCCACTCAGTGTATATATATATATACATACACACACACACATTACTGTATTGATTTTATATGACAACATTCCAAAGACCAGACGTTTTTAGCTGAATATTTTTTATACAAAAGCAAAACTTACCAGTTGCAGGTTTTAAATAAACAGATTTATACAATATAAGGAGCACAATGTATTATTTTATCCTCTTTGAATGTCCATAGCAATTCACAGCATGTGTGTTCCAGGTGGAAATCTGTCATCTACATTTCAGCCACAAGAGGGCGCTCTCTGACACACTCCTGAAAGCCACATTGCTATTCTGGTGAGATTCGTCAATTCTTATTACAGGAAATGTCACAAAGTGATGATTTTGTTACAAATAAGATCTCCGGAGAGGACAATGGACACTTCATAAAGTCCCTCACACGTGTACCCCGGCCGTCCCGACCATGCTAAGACAGCAACGTGTGTTAAGCATATGACACAATCATCTCTATGTAGTGAGGGAGTCCAGGGCTCTGTGCAGGGCTGTGCTCGAGAACACTGACACGTGGGATGAGATCATCTCCGGCACCGAGGCCTCGTCATCTAAAATATCAGCATAGAGAAACTACAATGAGGTTGCAGAGGAGAAAAACATAGAAACAGTCGTCAGATCCGTGACCAGAGGAGCCGCTGCCCTCAGCAATAGTTTCTTGTTCCCTAGTGAAGCTCAGAATACGAGAACCGGCCATGAGAGAGATACGAGAGCGGTCACGTGGGGTGCATGCTCCAGGATGTAATACATATCCCTACCCAGAGCAAGCATGCAGCCAGTGAAGTCGAACTCCTTGCCCCTGAATGAACCACTTACTAGCCCACTTACTGCCCCCTTTTCCTGACTGATGTCACCCCCTCCCTCACATGACAGTGTCTGGGGGCCTGGCGATTGGCCCGCTCAGGCCCAAGTACTGCATGCTGGGAAGAAGTCACATGTTCACATATACTCAGAAGCACCAGGTATAGGTGAAACCAATGGAGGCACTGGGGGTACATCCTAATACTTTACTGATGAGCGGCGATATAAATAGAACGCAGTATAATGGACGCTCACTGACCACCAGTGTAAGAGGAGAGGTTACTGGTGCCCCCCACTGACCACCAGTGTAAGAGGAGAGGTTACTGGTGCCCCCCACTGACCACCAATGTAAGAGGAGATGTTACTGGTGCCCCCCACTGACCACCAATGTAAGAGGAGATGTTACTGGGGATCCCCACTGACCACCAATGTAAGAGGAGATGTTACTGGGGCTCCCCACTGACCACCAATGTAAGAGGAGATGTTACTGGGGCTCCCCACTGACCACCAATGTAAGAGTAGATGTTACTGGGGATCCCCACTGACTACCAATGTAAGAGGAGATGTTACTGAGGCTCTCCACTGACCACCAATGTAAGAGGAGATGTTACTGGGGCCCCCCACTGACCACCAATGTAAGAGGGGATGTTACTGGGGCCCCCCACTGACCATCAATGTAAGAGGGGATGTTACTGGGGATCCCCACTGACCACCAATGTAAGAGGGGATATTACTGGGCATCCCCACTGACCACCAATGTAAGAGGGGATATTACTGGGGTTCCCCATTATTCACCAGTTGGGGTGGGGGCACACTGACTAGCAATGCATGATTTATACTTTTGGCCTATTACCACTGACCTACTTTAATTTGGCCACGCCCTATTTAAAATGCACCCCCCCGGGGAACTTGGTTTCTTCCGTAGATCTCCCCCTCACCCACTCTAAATACCAAGCAAAGTATCAGATACCCTGGAGAGGAGGCGAGGGGAGTGGCCTGCACTTACCTTCCACATATGTCATTCTCATATCCGTCTCCCACAATGCAGCACACGGGGGGGGGTAATGGAGGAGACCTGTGTGTGGACTTGAAGGCCCTCTGACATGTCTGGTACCCGGGATCAATCCCAGCACAGGTTCTCTTCAAAGCCAGGAAAAGAGTACAACAGAACACATACGGACCAATCACGCAGCGGTTACCTGGACATGTGACCGTCACCTCTGTGGGAAAGATGCTGGTGATGTCTCCGTAGAGTAATTTGGCAGCGAAGCTGACAGTCTGACCCTCTATGGTTATGTTGTAGCTGAAGGAGAGAACCGTGTACAGGGAATTCTTCTGCAGAGACCCCGCTACGTACGCCGGTGACTTTTCCTGTACGGAGAGACACAAATATCACCGGCGGGTCACATGGACAACGTTCTATGATAATAATACCAACCAATCACAACCATAGAACTCTCAAGAGCCCTCACCCCTGATACAAGCAGTGGGCGGGCTCCTGGGAGGAGTTATGCAAATATCACAATGCCTTGATGGGAGGGTGTCAGCCTGGAGGAGTGGGCGGTCCTAGGCAGGCTGTATTTGCATGAAGACCTCCCTAGGTAACACCCACATGTGATGCTGAGCCCCAAGGATTAAAAGAACGGTCATCCAATGAATGAAAGGGGCGGGGCCAGGGAAAGTCAGGCTGGTGAGGACAGAGCTAGATGATGCTGGATGTCCTCCAGCCAGGAAATGAGGCGGAGCTCTACCTGACTTGCTGCAGCTTGTAATGCACATTGTGAGGAGCTCCCGTTACAATAAAAGGATGACTGTTGCCCAAAATTACCGATTTTCATTGCTTTCCAGTGACTGGGCCTGTGGACTGGAGCAGATTTTTTATGTTTAACCCCCCCCCCCCCAACTATTGGGGGACAATCAGCTGATACATGCCCGCCTCCATGGTCAGTGCTTGCCATGTCATTACCTCCAGCTTATCGGCCTGGAACTTCCGGCCCCCATAGGCATTCAGCCGCTCGAAGAGAACATGGAGAAGCTTCCTCAGGTCGGCCGGCAGATGCTCCTTGGCGAGGTCACTCAGCGGGATGAAGGAGGGGACCCCGTGGCGGGAGATCTGCGGGTTTCTCAGACTATTCACCTGGATGTAGTACGAGTCCAGGTACGTGCCCTCGAAGGCCGCGGTGATACAGAAACACGCCCCGCCGTCCTTCAGCTTCCCGCTTATCCCTGATGGGAGAAATCAAATCCACCATGATGTCTACATTCACTGAGGGGAGGGGGCTGTACCTGTGACCATGTGACCAGAGCTCCCCCATCATGTCTACATTCACTGAGGGGAGGGGGCTGTACCTGTGACCAGAGCTCCTCCACGATGTCTACATTCACTGAGGGGAGGGGGGCTGTAACTGTGATCAGAGCTCCACCATGATGTCTACATTCACTGAGGGGGGCTGTACCTGTGACCAGAGCTCCACCATGATGTCTACATTCACTGAGGGGAGGGGGGCTGTACCTGTGACCAGAGCTCCACCATGATGTCTACATTCACTGAGGGGAGGGGGGCGGGCTGTACCTGTGACCAGAGCTCCCCCATCATGTCTACATTGACTGAGGGGAGGAGGGCTGTACCTGTGACCAGAGCTCCTCCATCATGTCTACATTCACTGAGGGGAGGGGGGCTGTACCTGTGACCAGAGCCCCTCCATCATGTCTACATTCACTGAGGGGAGCTGTACCTGTGACCAGAGCTCCCCCATCATGTCTACATTCACTGAGGGGAGGGGGGCTGTACCTGTGACCAGAGCTCCTCCATCATGTCTACATTCACTGAGGGGAGGGGGCTGTACCTGTGACCAGAGCTCCCCCATCATTTCTACATTCACTGAGGGGAGGGGGGCTGTA